ATATATATATATATATATATATATATATATATATACATATGTATATATATGTATATACATGTATATATGTATATATGCACACACATACATACACACACACACACACACACACACACACACACACACACACACACACACACACACACACACACACACACACACACACACATACACACACACACACACACACACACACACACACACACATACACATGTATATATATACATATATATATGTGTGTGTGTGTGCATATGTGTGTTTATGCTTTTGAATGCATATTTCTGCATGCATGTGCATGTGAATGTCCAGCCACCCTAGCGCCCCAAGGGAGCGGGCAAGGCAGACAAATCAGACAGGAGGCGACAACAAAGACGCCAGTCCTTGTGCAAGGCGGCGGGCGTTGAGCAGCTGGAAATGCAAATTCTCTCCCTCCATTGTGCTGCGGCAAAAGGCAAAAGATAAGGAGACAAAAAGCGAGTGCAGGTTCTTCCTTAGACCTATGCAACAAAGCCGGCCGTGACGCCGCCTCGGCACCTGCACTGCGAGGCTCGCCCGGTCAGCCCCGCCAGCTGGTTCTTGAGCTCGCTGTGTAATGCGTTTGGGAAGACAAGAGCTTCGATTTAACTGGCTCAAGAGTGATGTAGATGTCTTCTTTCCAATCAGTTTCCGACGAGGTATAAAGTCCTCAGTCAAATGATTAAAAATGCCATAGTAATTACTTTAACTTTTTTCACACTACTAATCATATCAGTGCCAAAATAAGTGTTAGTGTACCCTCAGATCAAAATCAGCATGTGGGATTCTTTTGACAGTGCTATTTGAGTGTCATGATAATAATTCTTGCATTTATTTTTACATTTCGCTATGAATTTGGCTCAACCTCCCAAACTGTCTTGTTCATTTTGCATAAAATAATACTGATATTCTCTGCGCAGCCTGGTCAGTGTGACCTGTTGCCTCCGAGGTATTATACGCCGGGCTTTATGACGTTTATCTGTCCCTGATGTTCCAGTCAGAGCCCGCTGTGCTGAGGGATGCCGTGTCCATCTTTGTCCCAGTTGATTAAAGGATAGCATTATTGTATGGTCCTGCAGTCTTCATGGGAAGTGCTGATGATCACAGGAGGATAGTGTTAGATTAGAAGATTATATATATATATATATATATATATATATATATATATATATATATATATATATATATATATATATATATATATATATATTTATGTATTTATGAATATATATATATATATATATATATATATATATATATATATATATATATATATATATATATATATATATATATATATAACGCATGGAATCAAGAACGACTCCCCCCCCCCCCGCCTCTTCTTGGGAAACCGACGAGGCGTTGATCCCAAATGATCCGCGAGACCCTCCTTCGCCCGCCTGGTCCTCCTGCAGGCGGCGCTGCTGAGGGGGTCGGGTGTCAGTGCTTTGGGTCCCCTTAATTCTTGTCTACGGCGTCTTTAGTGTCAAGAGATTATATGGCTTCTCATAATATTTACTTTCATGTCGTTTTTTATTTTCGAGAGAGTGTCCGCGTGTGAAACCCTCTTCGTAATTTTCTTCTCCGTTTTTTTTTCTTTTTTCCTTTTTTTTCGATTTTTTTCTCCCACTTGGGATTCTAGATTTTCCTGTATCGGTGAAGTCTCTTGGTGTGCCGTGCCTGTTATCATGTTTTAATAGCGACAATTTTTCTAGTGTCAGAAACCTGTTAACACTGCTATGGAAGATTCAGTTCGCTGGCAGATGTGCGGACGTGACAAGTGCCCCCCCCCCCCACCCCCGGACATACACACACGCGTACACACACTTTCCTGTAGTTGGGATGGTAAAAGTCTAGCATTATCACGTTCACTACGATGTTCGAGTGTTCCCACGCCCCTTCCTTGTTCGCAATGACGGATACACACTCTTTCTGTCTGTCTGTTTATCTGTCTGTCTGTCTGTCTGTCTCTCTCTCTCTCTCTCTCTCTCTCTCTCTCTCTCTCTCTCTCTCTCTCTCTCTCTCTCTCTCTCTCTCTCTCTCTCTCTCTCTCTCTCTCTCTCTATCTCCATCCTTCCCTCCCTCCCACTCTCCTCCCTCTCTATATCTATCCATTTACTAACCTATTGCTTTCCCTATTCATCTGTTCGTACCAATCAAACTATCTATCTACCTACGCACTTACCTATCCCTCCATTCACCTATACATTCCTTTCCCTATATCTACTTACCTACCTACCTACCATCTATCTGTTTGCACCCCTCTACCTCCCTACCTACCCACCTACCTATATATCTTTCCGTATGCCTATTAAAACCTTCCCATCTATCTACCTGCCTCCCTAGCCATCTACCTATCTATCTCCCTCTCCGTCTACTTATTCGTGCTAATTCAATCCTCTTTCTACCTTTCTATTCATCGTCTAGTTCCTATTTATCCTATTTTGAGCATAAACCCTCCCTTTTCTATAAGTGCCGCCCCTT